TGTGCTTCCCGCTGCTGAGTGCGGGGCCGAGCCCTGCTGATGGTGCCCAGGCCCCCCACCTAACTCCCCTCGAGCCTGGGCCCTGGCCCCCAACCCCCCCCCCCCCCCGACCGCCTGGCCTAGTGCCCCCACGCATGACACATGCACACTGAAGCGCAGGTCCCCCCAAAGCACAGGACCCGGAGCGGTCACCCCGATTCGCCATACCCAAGGGACACACATGTGAATGGGACGACAATGCAGCCCAGACAGCACCACACACAGGCTGGCAGGGCCCTCAAGGAGGCTGAGGAGAACACACAGAGGCCTGGCTGGGTCCCAGGGTAGCGTGTGTATACCAGCACAGGCACTGTGGGGCTAAGGCTCACCCCACACACACACTTTTCTGGAGCTCGGGGTAATGCGTGTGCACATGCACACACACACACACACACACACACACTACAAAGCCTAAAGATCACACACACACAGCTTTGCTGAAGCCCTTGACAGTGCTTGTGCATGCACACACACCCCGAGCCCTGCAAGGCCTCGGCATTCTCCAGCTGCCCCCACCCCTCCAATTCCCGCCGGCGGTCTCTTACCGTAGCAGAGCCCCGAGAAGCCGGGTGACATTGTCTGAGGTCTGGATCACAATCACAGGCTTGGAGAGCACCTGGGACACATCCATCTGCAGCAGGGTGGAAAACGACAGACATGTCAGCAAGGCCATGGAGCCAGCCACTGAGCCCCCACGGCAGGGTCACGGGGAGCCGGCACAACGCTCCTACCTCTCGGATCGTGTTCTGATTCAGCACGAGAATGAGCAGGGCTGATGCTCCCAGAACTAGGGCTCGCTTCATCTGTGGGGGGAGAGTGCACAGGGCCAGGGAGAGAGACAGTTGCACACGCTATGGACCACACACAAACATGGAGGTCAAGGGAAGGAGATAGGAGGCTGGGCCCAGCAGCCTCAGGACAGGGTGGGTGGGCAACCAAGCCATTCCCCCCCAAACCCAGGAGATTTTCCTGAGGGTCACCCTCTGACTCAGGTTCAGTGAGCCAACCTGTAGTGATAAGAGGAGTCCTGGTCTCCCGCCCGCTGCTGGCGTTCCAGGAAGTCACTCCAAGGCAGGAGTAGCCTGGCTCCAGTTTGCCCTCGCTGAGCGGCTGCAAGGATCCCCTGCTGCCAGGCAGTCCTAGGGAACATGGGACTGACTAGATAAAAGGGTTGCCACTGCCAGAGGGGCACACTGCGGGTCCCAAGGGGGCACTGTCATAGGACACACCCAGTGCTGGAGACCCTGGCACCAGGGGTGAAAGTAACTTACAGGATTTACCGATCCTGCTGGAGTCCTGAGGGGATCGTGGCCTCATCCGGAAAAGGCGTGGCCTCAATCGTAAGAGGTGGGGCCTCTCAAGATTTAAAGGCCCTGGGGCACCGGCTGTGGCTGGGAGCCCCAGGGCCTTTAAATCAACCTGGGGCTCCCAGCTGCAGAGGTGGCTGGGAGCCCCTGAGGCTCATGGGCAAATTAAAGGGCCTGGGGCTCCGGCCACCGCAGCGCTCTGGGCCCTTTAAATCCCCACTGCAGCTCCAGCTGGGATTTAAAGGGCTCGGGGCTCCCTGAGCCCTTTAAATCCCGGCCCCTGCCCGGCCACCGGAACTGCGGGTGGGATTTGAAGGGCTCAGAGCTCCACACCGCTGCGGGGAGCCCAGAGCCCTTTTAATCCCGGCCACGGAAGCCGGTGCGATCCGGTACGACGTACTGGCTCTTACCGGTACACCGTACCAGACCAGCTTACTTTCACCTTTGCCTGGCACACACAAAGGGGCACATGGGGAGGAAATCCCTACTGCCATACTCCAGTGGGTACCCAGGGGGCAATGCCATGGGGAAGCTACTGCTGCCGCTATCCCCAGGAGAGCACTGCTGTGGCCCAAGGATGACCCACTGAGGCAGCAGGGAGTCACCTTGTTGACCATGGCTGCGGTGAAGGACTCCTCCTTGCTGCCCCTCGGGATCTCTGCCTGCTCCTCCCCCACCGGCACCACCGCAATCCAGCTGTTCTCTCCCTCCAGCTCAGGCTCGGCATCTCCCATCTGCAGGAGAAGAAGAAGCTGTCAGGGGGCTGCCTAGCCCATCTCAGGGCCCTGGGCCCAGCCACTCGCCTGCAGGTTCCTAGCAGCCAGCTCCCCAAATGCAGCCCATGAGCAAGGCATCATGCTCCCTTTGCCGCACTCTTGGCAGGGGCTCCATGTACCATCCACAAAGCCACACGGCCTCCTCTGCCTCGCTGCCTGCCAGACAACTGGCAAGGGCTGGCCGTGGGGGCTGAGCCCGCTGCCCGCCTTGCCCGGCAGTTTGTCTCATTGTGTCCCAGGGTCTGGCTGGCTCCACCTGTTGTCTCTTGTCCGGTGCTTGCTCCCGGGCAGGGCCCTTCTCTGTGCTGGGTTGTATAGCGCCTGGCACCGCAGGGTCCGGGCCATGCCGGGACCAAATCCAGCCTGGACCTGCCCAGGAGCCACTGCCCGCCCCAGCCTGCCTGGGCTCGGCTGGAGCCCGTGTGCCCTACAGGTGACAGGCCCGTGGGCCGGCCCCCCAGCCAGCCAGCCCCTTCCCTGGGGACAGGGGCAGCGCCCCCGAGCCGCTCCCCAGCCAGCCAGAGAGCGCGCTCCCCCCGGCCCGCGCTCCAGGGCTGCATGGGGCCCCCGGCGCGGAGCGGCCAGGCCCGTACCAGGAGCAGGCTCCCCTCTATCGCCTCCTCCCGCGGCGGCGGGTCCGGGCCCGGGCGGCCCCCCAGCAGCGCCCCCTGGAGCGTGTAGCCCCCGGCGGCCGGGGAGCGCGGCTCGGCCTCCTCCGGCTCCCGCAGCGCCAGCACCTCGACCCGGGCGGCCGCCGGCCCCGCCAGCGAAGGGCCCAGCGCCGCCACGTGCCCCAGCAGGACCGGCAGCAGCAGGCGGGCCATGGCCGCGCTCAGTGGGGCGACGAGCCGGAGCCGGAGCCGCCGAGCGAGGAGCCGCCGCGCGCGCCCGCCCGCTCCCTCTGCTGGGCCTGGAGGACTCGCCGGGCCGCCGGATGCCTCCCCGGGCCTCGGGAGGACACCACACGGGGTGGGACATAGCCCCGGGGAACCCCAAGCAGAGAGCCCCCTTAGCCACGGGGGGTGGGAGAGGGCCCCCCAGGCAGAGAGGGGAGAGGAGAAACCCCATAACCATAGTGGGGTAGAGACATGCCCCTGTACCATGGAGATCTACACCCCTAAAACCAGAACCCAAATGGGATAGTCACCCCACCCCACACTCCCACAGGAGCGATACCCCAATAATCACCCCCTCCCCCCCAGAGCCCTGTTAGACCATGGGAGACACATCAGTCGGAGCAGGAAAGTGATGTCTTCCCTCCCCCCCCCAAAATCCCGTCATGGCGCAGAGAGCCACCCCCCCCAGGCACAGGGCAGACAGCCCTGATCAGCTCTCCCACAACCACTGGTGGGGAGCCATGCCATGTCCCCAGGGGGAGAGGGATCACCCTGCTCTTGCTCCCTGCAGTTCTCATGGCTGGGGGTGTCCACCGTGCAATCATGGCAGGTGCCCCACAGCCACAGTTGAGAGAGGGACTCCATGGTTACAGAGAGAGAGGGAAGGGTGGGATCACTGGGGGTAGGATGGAGAGGGACACCCCAGCATCACGGGGAGGGGGTGAAGAGATACCCACAGCGGTGAGGCAGCAAATAGGGTCGTCAAGCAAGGTGGGATGGGCTGAGGAGGGGACGCCCCCTTTTGGGCCTGAACAGACACTACGTCTGACGGAGGAGTCTCTGGCTCAAGGGGATACACTTGGGCCCCCCAGACCTTGGGGGCTTGAAAGAGGGAAACCTTTGATGCCACCAGGCTGAGCACCCCACTCGGAGCCAGATGGTGAGGCTGTGGGCCAGGGTCAGAGGGGACAATGAGAGGGAACATTCTTTGGTGGAGCATGGGCAGGAAGGGATGATACCCCCAGTCCCCGTGAGCCAGGCTGACTCTCCCAGGAGGCCATTCCCACCTCTCCAACCCACTGAGCCCTGCCTGTGCCACGTGTGCCCTCTACATGTGACCCATTCAGCCCTGCTAACCCATTCACACATAGGGCAGCTCTAAGGTGTCACGCAGGCTGCAGGGATTTGCAGTGGATTGAGAGGGATTAGCCCCAAGATTGGCCTTGAGGGGTAGGGCAGGAGCCAGGATCAGGGGAAACAGCCTGGCAAGGGGGGAGCAGGAGGGAGGACTGAGATAAATGCTGGGGGCAGGGAGTGAGGCATGACCTGCTTTTGGCCTTGGCAGGAAAGGGAGGGTATAGCTTGCTGCAGGTCTTATCGACAATGGCCGAGCTGTGGGAACTCTAGCGCATGCGGATGAGCTGGAAAGGGGGGAGGAGACACAATCAGCACCCGCTATTTAGGGCTGAGCAGAGCGATCTTCCCATTCTCCCATCTGGGATCCCCCCACTCCACTGGTAACTCCCCCCTTCCAACTTGGAGATAGGATCTGGCAGGAGAATTTTTCTGATGCGCCAAAGAACCCCCCACCCAGCCATCAAAGCCCTCCCCTGCCCCAACTGCCCAGCACCTTGCAGCTTCTTTACAGACAGCTGGTCACTTCCAAAAGCGACAGGGGTTGTTTTCATTTTATTTATTTCACCTTTGGCCCCACTTCCAATTCATAGAATCTCAGGGTTGGAAGGGACCTCAGGAGGTCGTGTAGTCCAACCCCCTGCTCAAAGCAGGACCAATCCCTAGACAGATTTTTGCCCCAGATCCCTAAATGGCCCCCTCAAGGATTGAACTCACAATGCTGGGTTTAGCAGACTAATGCTCAAACCACTGAGCTATCCCTCCCTATTCCATCCAAGTCAGGGGACCTGGGTCCAGCACAGGCCCGGTTTGTAATGAGATGGCATTCAGATGCATTCTGTAACCAGGCTAAGACCTTGGCTGTGAGCCTGGAATTCAGGTTTCAAAATGCAGCTTAGGGCCATGTACACTAAAGTTTGGTATGGGGTTGTAACTGGGCCATGGCACAATTGTGTTGTAGTTGGCTAGATTGTAATTGTAGGGTAGGTTGGTCTTCCCTCACATCATTAGACTCTGTTTTGCTTTGTTCCACTGATGCACAGACACACTTGGTTGATAGTATCAGAGGGGTAGCCGTGTTAGTCTGAATCTGTAAAAAGCAACAGAGGGTTAGTCTTAAAGGTGCCACAGGACCCTCTGTTGCTTTTTACTTGGTTGATGGATGCCTTAATGAAGCTTTGGGAAAGGAGTTGCTTACAATCAGCCATATACACAGTAGGTAAGACATTTGCCCAGTCTAGACCAGGGTCAGTAGGAAGACACATGAAATACATGGCGAATTTAGGACCTGTAATTCACCTTATTGCAATGCCATTATAGCTAGTGTAGATGGGGCTTTTAACCACTGTGTCATTGATACCAGGTGTTCTCAACCTGGGGGGTTGCAAACAGGTGTCCGTGAGTCATGACCGTTCTGCCATTCCCATATTACTAAGTGGGAGAAGAATTCAGGTAGATCTTGGAAAGCCTGGAAGAGGAGATCTATGGTGAGGTGTGTCACTATGGAAAAGCGAGGTGGAGCATGGAAAAGATTGAGAATTGTAGATCTAGACCTACTCTGAGTGGGGTTAGACAACAAGGTGATAAAGACACCTGTTTTCCATCTAGTCTAGTGCCCCCAGTATAGCCGCAGTGGTGGTAATGCAGCAGCAGCAGGTTTCGTGAGTGCAGACGAACTTGTGGGGCTGATATAGATTAGGAGGGGAATTATGGCTAATCTAGTGTCCTCAGATCTCTGAGGATAAAGCAAATGTGTGCTTTTGTTTTGCTGAAGGGAGAGGTATACTAATCAAAAGCTAATGGGTGCTGGGGCTTCGCGCAGCTGAGAGCTGGGTCGTTTATGAAACCTGTTGGGATCAAAACTTATTTTCTTTCTACTTGTTGTTTTTTTTTTTTAAATGAGGTCGCCTTGCCTCTGGCAGACTGTGGGCAGCTGGAAATCCAGTAGGACTGTGATAGCAGATATACTACGCAAGAACCCTGTGATGAATAGGAAGAGGAAGTAATTTTTACTCAGACTTTTAAAATATTCAATAAAGTGGGTATTGATTTTGGGTACCCAGCATGAGACACCAGATACCAAATTATTTGGTCTGGCTGAGCTGGACTCAACACAGGGCCAGAGGGGTGAGGGGCAAAGGTGATTTTAAGCACTTTTACCCTCCCTGATCCTGAGACTGGATGGGACCTGGGACCGTCCACGGCAAAACAGTCTCAGGACTCTCTAATTTACACCCAGTTGCCCATAGTATATTTCAAATAGTATATAGAAATAGGTTTCAGAGTAGCAGCCGTGTTAGTCTGTATCCGCAGAAAGAACAGGCACTTTAGAGACTAACACATTTATTTGAGCATAAGCTTTCGTGGGTTACAGCCTACTTCATCGGATGCATAGAATGGAGCATATAGTAAGGAGATATATATACACATACAGAGAACATGAAAAGGTGGGAGTTGTCCTACCAACTCTAAGAGGCTAATTAATTAAGAGAAAAAACTTTTGTAGTGATAATCAAGATAGCCCATTCAGACAATTTGGCAAGAGGTGTAAGAATACTTAACATGAGGAAATAGATTCAATGTGTGTAATGGCTCAGCCATTGCCAGGCTCTATTCAAGCCTAAATTGATGGTGTCTAATTTGCATATTAATTCAAGTTCAGCAGTTTCTCGTTGGAGTCTGTTTTTGAAGCTTTTCTATTGCAAAATTGCCACCTTTAAGTCTGTTACTGAGTGGCCAGGGAGGTTGAAGTGTTCTCCTACTGGTTTTTGAATGTTATAATCTACAACCTGTCCTGAAAGATGATCCCTCACTCTCACAGATCTTGGGAGACAGACCTGTCCTTGCTTACAGACAGCCCCCCAACCTGAAGCAAATACTCACCAGCAACCACGCACCACAGAACAAAAACACTAACCCAGGAACCTATCCTTGCAACAAAGCCTGTTGCCAACTCTGTCCACATATCTATTCAAGGGACACCATCATAGGACCTAATCACATCAGCCACACTATCAGAGGCTCGTTCACCTGCACATCTACCAGTGTGATATATGCCATTATCTGCCAGCAATGCCCCCCTGCCATGTACATTGGCCAAACCGGACAGTCTCTACGTAAAAGAATAAATGGACACAAATCTGACATCAGGAAACATAACATTCAAAAACCAGTAGGAGAGGGTGAGTGGTGTTGCAGCCCAGCTACACTAGAGCTATGATGTTCACGAGAGCTGGTCATGAACCAGAATTTCCATTCCACAGCAAATGCCAACATCTGGGAAAAATTCCCTTCCAATTCCAAACAAAGAGACAAAATTTCCTGCAAAACAAAAATTCCAAAACGCTTTGTTTTGATAGTGTTGTTTTGATGAATGTAATCTTGTATATTATACTGAAATATTAAATATAATATAGATTATGTATTCCTAATATAGATGATGTATAATCTTATAAAAGTCTGAATGTTTTGACTGTCAAAATGAAACGTTTAATCTAAAATTTATCAAAATCAACATGTTCCCGCAAAACATTTAGATTGTGAAAAAGCTGCATTTAAAACTGTTCCACTGACATTTTTTCAACCAGCTCTAATTTTAGTATCACTCCGTGGAAGTTTCACGGGAAGGAAGAAAGAGTACAATAATGTCCTTAACACTTGCTTCCTTCGGCTGCAAACCGTAGGCAGCTAACGTAACTCCTAAGGGAATGTCAGAGCACCCAGATCTTTGATTGGCACCAGTGGGTGCTACTGCAGTATGAACTGCACATTGACCTTTGATGTGCCTGAAACCCCACCCCCTCAGCAAAATCAGCCAGGGCAGTGTGGGAGAGGAAGGGAGGGAATGGTTTATATCAGTGATTCTCAAACTTTTGTACAGATGGCCCCTTTCACACAGCAAGCCTCTGAGTGCGACCCCCCCTTATAAATTAAAAACACTTTTAAATATATTT